TTACCTATTTATTTCTCTAACATCTTTTTCACAAGCCTCTGATAAGTGGATGTGACGTTTTTAAGCCCGAAGGGTATCACATTATAATAATATATGCAGAAGTTCATTATGAATGAAGTTTTTTTTCTGATCCTCCAGGTTCATCTCAATTTGGTTGTGCCGGAATAGGCATCTAGAAAACTCATTAACTAGTGCTCCGTCATTGCATCAATTATTTGATTGATGTTTGGCAGTGGGAACAAGTCTGTAGGGCACGCCTTATTCAAGTCTTTATAATTTACGCACATTCGAATTTTGTTATTCCTTTTTGGAACTACAACTACCTTAGCTAACCATTCGGGATACTTTGCCTCCCAGATTGAACCGATATCAAGTAGTTGAGTTACCTATTCTTTAACAAACTTGTTTCTCACCTCAGCTATCAGGTGATTCTTTTGCCTCATCGGAGGGACGCTTGGGTCCATGCTTAGCTTATGCACGACCACCTCTAGTGGGATACCTGTCATATCCGAGTGCGACCATGTAAAACAATCAACATTAGCTTTAAGAAAATTAATAAAACCTGACCCGAGTTCGGGATTGAGTCCTATTCCCAAGTGAAATTTTTTCTCCAAAATTTATTCAAACAAATCCACTTGTTCGAGTTCTTCTACCGTGGTCTTGGTGGCATCTGTCTCTTCTAGTACTTGAAAGTATCTTGGTACCTGGTGGAATTCCAATGACTCCTCGCCTTTATCATCTTCACTCGGCTCGGGGGCAGGCGTTAGTTCTTGTAACTACTATTTGTTGGGTTCCTTCCTTTTACTGCTGGAAATTGACACTGCATTCATTTCTCTCATTATCGGTTGATCTCTTCTTATTTATTTGATTCCTTCTAGGGTCAGAAATTTCAGTGTTGATGATATGTTGATGGTACAACCTCCATCTCATGTAACCATGGTCTACCGAGAATTATGTTTTAGCCCATGTCGCCGCCCACTACTTCAAATAGGGTGGTCTTCGTGACCCCTTCGGGGTTCGTGGGCAGAAGGATCTTTTCTCGGGTTGTCACACTTGCCAAGTTGATCCCGGCAATGAGTTTTGTTGCCAAAATGATACTTCCGATTAATTTGTCTTGATCCATAACTCTCCATTGAATGATGTTGGTTGAGCCTTAGGGGTTAACCAAAATACATTTAATCTTGAAATCTAGAAATTACCATGGCATCGTTATGTGGCAGAAAAAGTCCATCGACGAGGGGGAAGGCGTACGGACCACTCCATTCGAAGTGTCACAAAAGGCTGTTGTGTCTTTCTTCGTGAAGGTGATGTCACCTTTGGTGATTTCTAAGAGTCTCTTGCTGCGAGTCACCGATACTTTTATCTTCTTGACCGCCGAGAAGGTTACACCATTCATTTTATTCCCTCCAAAAATTATGTTGATAGTCAACCGATAAGGATCTTCCCATAGTTTGAGGTCTTTGCGTTGTCCAGGCTGCAGGCGTAATTATATTTGGCTCGGTCACTCAAGAACTCCCTAAGATGGTCATTATTTAATAGCATTTCCACCTTATCGTGTAGATATTGATAGTCTCCGATCTTGTGACCGCGCATCACATGATATTCACACCATAAGTTAGGATCCCTCTGGCTGGGATTAGATCTGATTGGCCTCGGCAATCGCATATCTTTTATATTCCTCATCGTCGATACCAACTTCATGACACTGGTGTTGAAAATTAATCTGACTACCCGGGATAAGTGGAATCCCGAGTCCTCGATACCTCTTTGCCTTGTAACAATCTATTATTTCGGCCACAGTCAGTTCTTCTTTGGGGAGCGAATCTATCCGCAGATCGGAACCCTTTGATGTCGCGTCCCTCGGTGCTCTCATAGGGCAAAAATCGGCCTTTAAAATATCACCAATCTGCATCAAAATCATCCTTGACCTTATACCGACTTTTGTCTAGGTCCTGCCCTTTGGTTGATGTCTGGAACTCGAGATGATCATCTTCTATCCTTTTTTTCAATTCATAATGATTATGGTCATTCGCCTATGTGGTCTCTTGAAATTCTAGCATGATTTCCTTCAACTTTTGGGAGGCGTCAAAGCTCATTGGGTTCAAACCCTTAGTGAATGCCTCCGCTGCCCATTCGTCTGTGATAGCCGGTAATAACATTTTTTCTTTCTAGAATCTGATCACGAATTTCTATAGCAATTTAGACTCTCCTTGTGCAATTTTGAGTATGTCCGTATTCTAGGCTTGGACCTTCCTAGCCCCTACATTGGTGTTAATGAAAGAATCTGTGAGCATTTTAAAAGAATCTACTGAGTGCTCGGGTAGGAGTGAATACCATGTTAAGGCCCATTTCGTGAGGGTTTCTCCAAAGCTCTTCAATAGAACTGACACAATCTCATGTTAGGCCAAGTCATTTCCTTTCACCATCGTTGTATAAGTTGTGATGTGCTCTTGAGGATCTGAAGTCTCATCGTACTTTAGTATGTCAGGGATCTTAAACCATTTTGGGATCAATTTAAGTGTTGCGCTCGGTTTAAACAACAATTGTGTGTACTTCTTCGAATTCGGACCCTTCAACACTGGTGGTGCACCTGAAATCTGGTCCATTCGGGCGTGGAACTTCTTCGCGTTCTGATCCATCCGCTCGTTCATCTCTCTTATGAATCTCATCATTACCGTTATCGTTACCAGATCTGTTACCGATTCCCCAGGCTCCGTCGAAACCGCCCTCACCCCTCGAGGTGTTGTTATCAACTTTTTGGGCTGTTTGATTTGCAGGAGCACCGGGAGGAACTGGCCTCTTCCATTTGCGTTGTTGGAAGCACATGATAATGCCTGCTTCGATTTTGTCATGATGTAGTCCTGCCTTGAGATATGGCCCAAAATGTCTTTCTATTGTTCCCTCAAGATCCTTACCATTTCTGCAATGTATTCGTCCTTCGCATCATCGAGAGTTAGTTCCCACACATGTCGAGGGTATTGTCTGCCATGGACCGGAGTTGCCACATCCCCCTCGTTTTGGGTATCACTGATCGAATCCTCATGATGAGGCATATTTTCATACGCCTCAAAGTTGTGTGCGATGTTGACATCGTTAGCTGCCATTTTCGATTTTTGCTATGAAACAAAGAATCAAACGAGCTAGGAATAGATGCAAGGATCAACTCAATTACGCAATTGTCTAAGCCCCACGGTGGGTGCCAAATTGTTTACCTGTAAAACGGTATAGTTGAATTTGTTACGTGGTTTATAGACAAGTGAACTGATTTGATCCAAAGTGATAAACAAATTAGATAAGAAATCAGACTTAGCATTAAAATCGAAGGGAATGACGGGCCTGGCTCCGGGAGCTATGCTTCCAAAGACAGAAATAAAGCAGTTTAAAATAGAAAGTAAAATTATATTATTGAGCTTGAGAATATAATGTAGCATAAGTTTTGCTAGAGATTTCGTGTCCTTACAATGATTGTTGAAGCTACTATTTATAGCTATACCTAGGAAACAAGATCCTAGGATCGAGCCCTTCTTAAATGATAATAAAGGGTGTCATTGATGAATGTGCAATAGCAGTCCATGAATGTCAAAATACTCTGCAATGGCTGACTATTTAATACTAGGGAATATTCTTTATTAAATGCTATCTGGTGACAAATATCCAATCTACTTCCGTTGATTATGCTCCCTTTAGGGTCTATCCAATTCCAACTGCAGCTATTGTCCCTGGTCTTAGTTCTTACTCGATTTGTCTTTCGCCTCTTCACGTGTCAAGCGACCATTTTTACCATACACAATCACAAGTTTATTTGGAGGTTTGACGAGTATGTTAACTCTTGGATTGTAGAAGAATGGTAAGAAAACATGTTCTTTGGCCGAATTAGTGATCACATTATGCTCTCCATTTTTGTACATTGCATTACTTAATAAATGTGGTCATTATTAAAGCTACATCCATAAAAATTATTACTACTAGAGGTATCAAATGAGTGGGTTGAGTTGATTTTGGGCGGATCAAAATGAGTTGAGTCAATAAATAAGGGGTTATAGACCCACCCAAAAATAACTTGGGCTGAGATGAGTTAGGTCAAAATGAACTGAGTTAATTAATGTGTATTATTTTCTTATGAATTGTTTAATTATCAAATAAGACTTTTTTTATTTTGTTATTGTTATAATATTATCAAATAAACAAAATATTTTAAAGATATCTTAGCAAAGTTACTCATGAATTATTGGGCTAAAAATCAGCTCAACTTTAGATGAGTTGAAATGATTGGGTCAAGATGGACTTAATTCAATAAATGGTCGGGTCAATGACTAGCCCAACCTTGTGTGAGTTGGACGGGTCAAATAGATTTGGACTCAAATTGTCATCGTTAATTATGACATAAAAATAGGCTATCATATTCATAATTAAGTGATAAAAAGTTATAAACAGTCACATGATGTAGAATTTTGGAATGTATTTTAGTAATAATTATACATTTTTTATGATAAAGATAGGTGTTGGAAAAAACAAATTATATTCTTTAATGGGTACTGGCTAGTACGGCTCACAATCCCAAATGCGGAGAACACGTGTGATAGTTAACCTCCTCCCTCTATCTTGCATAACAAGTCATTTAATAAAAATCTTACTTTACAATTTTACTACTTTATGCACCTACATTGTTTTTACGAGTCAAATAAGTATTCCATCATTTATTTATTACTCCCATCACACAAATATGGTGTAGACATGTGGGAAAGCTGGATACAGCTGGCATCCACTAGCTTTAGCACATGGGATCTACCATTGAGATTGTTCCATGTGTATAAGGTTAAAAGGGGTAGTTCGGGCATAGGGGTTTTAAGGGGCTAGTTTTTATTTTGACAGTCTATATAAAGCAGACAAGATATCTCCAAATTCATTTCCCTCCCAAATATCTCCCAAAATTTCATATTTTCACTTTCCCGCTTTTTTGAATTCCCCTCTCCCTCTCTCTCTCAAAATGGTGATAACTGACGAAGAACTCTTTCCATTTACGAGACACAGCCAAATGATACAATGGAGATCAGGCAGGCTCGTAGAGATTTTATCGAAAAGGAAATTGAGTTCAACAACTATATGAAGACAGCTACACTTGACCTGGAGACTGTGAGGAACCTCTACTATGCAAAAGGTCTTAGTAGCCGCTTGTACGATCTGTTGATGAAGAATGCAAAGTATAATCCATATACAGGTAGTTTTAAATTTTTTTTGATATGCAAGTAGTTGCCTTTCCCACATTATCTAAAAATTTGATTCGAAAATTTGATATAGGCATTGAAGGACTGGCAGACACAATTTTCAGCGATCTAAACTCTGATACAACTCTGGAGATGAAGGAAGGCACTAATCTGAAAGCTGATGGTAAGATCTCAACATTCTCGGCTTTGTTTGTTGAAATACATGCTATATTAGATCTGATAATTTCACTGTTGAATTTGTGTTTAATCTTATTTAAGTTGAAGTTCTATTAAATACAGATATTGTGTTATTAGATAATTTAATAATGTGATCCTTAAAGCATACTTAAAATTTAATTGATAAATATCTCAACTGAATTGTATGTAGTAGAAAATGAATATCTATGAGAAATTGCGATCCTTAACATTGTATTGGGAAAAAACTGAGTTTGAATATTAAAGATTACGTGTCATGACACGTGAATTGGTCAAAAGGTCAAAACGCAATAAATAGTGAAGAGGTACGGGCGACAACAGATATGGGGAGAAGAAAGCAACATAGGTGTGGACCATTACTCAAATGGCACGAGTCTCGTACCTATTCGAGTCATTTAAAGACCGAAGATCGGAAGAAGTTGAAGATATGAATCTGATGACGTAAAAGAGTCTAAATACAGCATTAAATATCAAATACGTTAGAAAATTTGAATTAAATAGAAATGATTGTGTAACGTTTCTTCTAATGTCATTTATTGCTCATAATTGTCTTAAGATAAAGGCATTACACCTTCTCCTAGAATCAACTATAAAAGGAGAAGGACTCAACATCTGTAGGGATACGAAATATTATTGAGATTACACTGAAATATAAAACTACTTATTACTTTATTATTCTCAGAATTTTTCTATTATTTTCGTCTCCAGATTATCAGTAACCCAAATTTCTCTTTATTTCTAGCTTTGACCAAAGACTTAGATTTTTGGTTAAACAAATTGTTCCGTTACCGGGAATCTGATAATCTATTCTTTTTACGTTACATCCTACCTGTTGTTATCATCATGTCAAACAACAATGAAAACATTCATGAAAATCAAGCACATCAAGTGGATGGAGATCAACGTGATGATCTTTCCCCTCAAGGTTCTCCACGTGGATCTCATGAGGGCACTCCTAATGATCAATCTGAGCATGTTGATGGAAGAGATGAGGTTTTACAAAAAATAATTGACGCACAGGTTGACAAAGCTTTAGAAGCTCTAATCCGTCGATTACCTGCTGCACCATCAACACCAAATGACAACACGTTGGAAAATCCCCGTTTTGGGCTGATTAATTCGGGTAATGGAGCAACCCCCAGTGATTCACAAGTGGGGGAACCAGGTAATTCAACTACTTCTCATTGGCAAAATTTAGTACTAACCTTGCAGAAACAGCTTAAGGAACAAAACGAACGCATAGAGCAAATCCCCGGAGTTCCACCTGTGATTAGAGGAGTGGATATGGACAAATATTCACAATAACCTTGGAAGCCAAGTGTTGTTCCCCTTCCAATTCCTAAAAAGTTCAAAATGCCCGGCATCCCAAAATACGATGGTACAACAGATCCATGTGACCACGTGACTGCATTTACAACAGGCGTGAAAGGCAATGACTTGACCAAACAAGAAATTG